ATGTGTATGTGTGCATTATCTCTTTGACCTCCCAAACTGCCTGTCCCTATTGCTGCGGTGCAGTGCCCTCACAGGCCATACCTGATTTAAGTATACACTACCGATCGAATACATTTGGTAAAACTTGTGAATCAGAAATCAGGAATACATGAATCTGAATCTGAATTTAACAGAATCAATTATTCTGAGGATGCTCAGTTGCTCTGTTAGTGTAGTAGAGAGAGGTAATTTTGGATGAAAATCTTGAAAAAGACCCACTTAGGATTTTCAGATCTGGAAAAAAAAATTACGTGCATATGTAACACAGACTTGTTCATCAACCTGCCAAGTTTCATTGACATCTGCTGCAAAGTCTCTCAGAAAATGCGAGAGATAACTTAATAATGAGAAAGAAAGTAAAACTAGTACTCCCCTTTCAGGCTTCGCCTGAACGGGGACTAATAAGAGCCACAGGAAAAAGCAGAACTTTATAACAGTGAATATTTCACTGGTGTCCTCAAGACAGGGTGTCACAGTGAACTTATATTTAAAATTTATGAAATGTTCATATAACATGAAAAACTTGTTTTTCATTCATTCATACACACAAAACAAAGTATATTCATAACATGTTGTTATCTGTACATACATTTGTAAGATATTATTGGGTATGTATAATAAACTATTGAACAAATTAGGAAAATGCCGCCCTCCCCTTTCTGTGAGAAAGAAAATGCCCAAGGAACTCACAACCCATCTATATCCAGCTATGTATAAATAATTTAATTACTTTAATTATTGAGAACAGCCTGCAGAACTCAAGCTGCCTTATAAAAAAAACTCCTTCACCCACAAATAAATATTTTTAATAACAGATATGGTAATCTCAACTTGTACTGATGTCACTGAAAACGTTAGGGAATCAAACCCAATATATACAATTACCTATTAAGACACATCCTGGGTATAAGTATCGGATAAAATATCTGTCTGGCTTCTTCATTCGGTAGATTCATGATGAACTGTCTGGTGGCTACGGACGCTGCTAACCTTACCTAAAAGATAAAATATCAACATAATTTAGTTACAGCCAAATTTTTTTTTATCTGAATTTTTATAATAATCATGATATTGTCTGAAAAAATTAGACATTGTTTACAGATTAGTTGAGCAAAATCAAGAAACTCTGAAAGAACTATGTTGAAAATCATGAACTTTTGCACGTCCGTTAACCATTTTGAACACAAAAAGTCATCTGTCACAAAATAAACCCACATTTATTTAAAATATAGATTATCATCTGTAGACGTTGAAAAATAATATTGATTTGTATCAGCACTCGTTCTAAAATGTAACAGCACTCATTTGAAGAAACTTTTTTATGGGGTAAACTACGTTACCAACTTTCAAATTTAACACTTTCCTTTGTTTAAATTGGACACAGAAGCAATATAGCACAAGATAGATATAGAATTTTGTCACTCACAGCACAAAATATTTTGCATTTTCAATTCAGGTTATAATTTTTTTTAAAATTATTACTACAAGCAGGTAAAAGATGTATAATAATAAAGTTATCACAAGAACACTGCAAATGATGCACTCAGGCAGCACTGGGTTGCATCAAAGCCTTTGTGTGGTATTTTTGTGATGACCTCTTAATATCATATTTTGATGTACCCAAGAGAGTACCAGGATGTGTGACCTTTAGGGGGGTCATGCTTAATTACCAGGATGTGTGACCTTTAGGGGGGGGTCATGCTTATTTACCAGGATGTGTGACCTTTAGGGATCATGCATCAGGCCAATTGGATCATACCTGACTCCAGTTGTCCGCTAAACCATTTGAAAGATGCAGGGCAAATTCGTTGCCGTGAAGTACAATGGGGTTTTCATCTGGTTGTCCTGCCATTAAAAACTCGCTTTCCATGGGTTCTCCTTCGTCCTCTATCAGATATCAAAGAAAAGCGCAAAATATTATAAAAGGTTAACAAATAACTGCTCAGCAAATATTGTTGGTTTACTGAAATGGTTCGGTAAACAACATAGTATTTATATTACTTGTACCTGATGAATGTACAAACAGTATGGAGAAGAAAAGATTGTGTGACGATACCAATTTTTAACATGGTGATATTTCATAGAAGGCAAAAGATCAGATACTACTCATGATTCATTATTTGAGATGGTGATTCTTTTTGGTTGTTTTTCACTAAATATTTTACTGTTCTCTTCAAGCTTTTCTTGTAATTATTCGGTATTGCATTTAAGCATACAGAAAAAAAAGTTAGTTTCATTCTAACCTAAGGCCTCGATACGAGTAAGACAGTGTAACACAACGCTAACTGTCTAACCATTAAAGTGATACCCAACTAGTGTCAAATTAGAGTATTTTTTTCAGTTTCAAAATACAGCTTTTAACGTCACCTTGTGCATCACAGAATGCATTTTTTTGAGTAAGATTAACAACAGCCAGTCTTGTAATCATGGGCAAAAAAAAAATTGTATTGTAGCGAGACCCACTCCCCAAAACTATAATCCCTTACCCTCTTGAGATCCGCAGCTTACTATTGCCGAGCACACGTAGTAACCAGTCTCTCTGACAAACCGATTAGTATGTGTCAGCGCTTGAAACAGCAGGTCCAACAAATCCTGTGTAATCTGCTCAGAAAACTGAGTGCCGCAACCAACTATGACACACTGCAGACATCTGAAAAAAATCAACCCAATGTTAAGTAGAAGTAAGAGTTCGTTCAAAAACTGCAAAATTACAAGAAAATAAACCTATATTTGGTGACGTTCATCAAATCTTTGAAAAAATATCTAATTAGCCCAAAGTGTATTTGTATCTCAGTCACGATATACTTCCCAATACTGGAAATATCTGATTAAGCCACGGAAGACCTTATCAAATATTAAAACAGCTGATATTACACACATGCCTAGCAGGCCGTAATAACAATACCTGTCATAAACATTGTTTATTTCCATCTTATATTATTTATAGCGGACATGTTATTACGATCAGTCAATATACATGAAATATATATTAAGAGTTCCAAAAATAAAATAACGAGCCCCTTTAACAACTCGTATATTAAGTATGAAATCAGTGCGTGCGTATCATTGGTTTCATATGGATTTATTTCCCCAGCGGGTACATGTATGTTTTACATCATCTATATTTGCAGAGATTAATGATAAGGACTTCTCATTGAATCTCATTACTGTAAAATAATTGGGCTCCGACAGAGACTTGCGTCAGGAAAGTCAGGCTGTTTCCTCAACTGTTTTGACAGAAGGGGAGGGGTATCAACAATTTCAATTTTGTTTTTACTAATTGTCATGGAACAAGTATGTATGAATTTAGGGTACCCACTGAGACAGCCATGAAAATAAATATAGAAATTACACTATTATAGTCAAACGTAGTGTTACCATGGTTTCCTGCAAAAACTAGCTTGTAACTTGTTTGTCTTCGAGCAATTTGTTCAGCAAAAATTATTCAGGCTGATTTGAGGAAAATATTGTCAAACACAAAAGTTTGATTGGACAACTGTGTTTTCATGTGAAGAAATACTGGACAACCAAGTTGTGTGTTTCTTTTCTTCTTTTTTTTAAATTCCAAACCATGTTTACCGGTATTTATTTAGAATAAAGCACAATATTGATATCCCTGGACCAAAGATCAATTTCTGTATAATGGTGGGTTAGAGTGAAATTTGGTGCTTCATATGCAAAACAACTTTTGGAGCACATACAAAAATTTAAACAATGTTTTCTTTATATAGTGGATTCAAAAGATGAGAATCGTGTATTATCACAGAATTTGTATCTACTCATAGTCATAAGTATATATTGAGGAAACTGGAGAGACTGGTTTTAATATAATTAAAGATCATTTAATTATGGACATTACCCTGGTTGTTGAGATACGACTGAGACACGATACGAAAATCACTTCAGAGTTAAATCAAAAATACGATAAATTTAGCAAAAAATAAACCCTATAAATATTAATTAAAGATCACTTAATTATGGACATTATACCCTGGTTGTTGAGATACGACTGAGACACGATACGAAAATCACTTCAGAGTTAAATCAAAAATACGATAAATTTAGCAAAAAATAAACCCTATAAATATTTAACGATTTTAAAAGCTCTACATTATTCACTGACAAAAACCACCAAATTTGTTCTCTTTTACAGACATCAAACAAAAGAAACATAAAATTTAAGTGGCAAGCAATCTAATTAAAAGTCAGTCAACGTGGCAATTAAAATCACTCCTCATCACGCTGACGCCAAGTGAGAAATAAATCACTGCCTCCCCAGATTTCCATAACTCATTTTAATTGGTGCACTTGAAATCACCGACACGAGTTGCATCTTAACTACGCACACACACACATGCGTCAATTGGGAGTACCTCAGTGTTGTATGTAATTAAAATTTCGTAACCCGGGGAGTAATTCAGCTTTCAGACCTGACTGTATTCAGATAATATTGGTCCCAGAAGGCCTACAATGCATTTTGTTTATCGCTGATTTGCTCTGATCACCCAAGTGACCTTCGTGTCATCCTCGTTAATTGGTGGTTTGTGACTGATGTGAGATAGCATAGTCAAGTGAGCTAGCACGTCATGTGACCGAATATCTCATGTGACCTAAGCTATCAAGTGATCTACCTATTATATAATGTTTTGATTGAATTTATTTTTACTTAAACAGTGATTTTTACTTTAATGATGATTAAATGACATCATGAGAACAACGTTTTACAAAAAGGGATGTGATCACGTGACTTTATTACAAATTAAATTTTCAGTGCAACAAAATTCGCCATTTCATAAAATTAAAGCGATTTAAAGCGAACAAAAAACAATGAAAGACAGAATCAACATCAAAGCTCAAATTGTGAGCATGAAAAAAAACAACAAAAAAAACCAGACATGTTAATATTGAATCGTCTCTTCTATTGTCACGTTACAACAGATACATCGTTTGTCTGTTGTTATTGCAATAACGAAGAGATGCATATATGTAGAATAGAAAACATAACATGCTTAGAAAAGGCCAAGGTGGTCACATTTCATAATGTTTAAATGCCAATTATCGTCGGTTTTTATGTATGATACAGTGTTAGAATAGATTCAAGGAATCGGCAATCTCCCCCCTTGAGTGTTCAGCACTGTCAATAACAGCAATGTGCAAAAAAAAAAATCAAATGATGGGCACATAATAGTTATCAAGGCTGAAACTGACAGAGCATTCAAAGTGGTGATTCAAACAGCCTTTCATGGATACAAATACAAGAATTTGAGATCTCTTCCAGACTTTACATGTATAAGAATTGCAGAGGGGTACTTCACCCCAAGGCTAAACATCATTGATATTCACGCATCTTTCTATATGAAACAGAAATTCTGATGAAAAAAGGTGATAGCAACACAAAATGGAAACTCGCAGAAAGGTTAATTGGGAGAAAAAATAGTCGTTAAAAACCCAATCCACTTGATAGCTAACGCAGTTTAAACTGACATTCAAGATTTGAATAGAGATCGCAAACAAAACGTCAAAATCAGGTGATGTCATGTACGCTGAACAGATGCTCCATTATAGTTGTATTAAATGAGTCCATTGTAAGCAACAACAAAAAGCAAAAGCAAAATATTGCCAAAATTAGTTCAATCAATATACACACAAATCTGAGATTGAGTCGTTGCTGATAATAACCCTAATAACACTTCACAAAACAATAGGCGTCCCGTGAATAAGCATGATTACAGATGGATTTACTGCCATGACAATGCACAGAGTTTCGAGAAATTAGTCCAATCATAAGGGATTCACTTGGATTCATCTATTCCATCTATCAATCACATTTGAAATCCAAAATCAACTTTACTTTTTTCACAAAAAATAAATTGAAATTTTTTTTTTTATAATACAGAAAAATTATGTCCAGTACTAATGGTCAGAAATAAATATAGAAAACACACAAAAATGTGTTGTTCAAAAGACCCCCCCCCCCCAACTCCTGAATGAAGACAAATTTGAAATGAAATCTACAGAAAATGAAAATGACAATATAAAATGAAAACCAACTTTTGTCACAAAATCACAACAAGAAATTACATGGGAAAAATACATTCAGAATTGAATTATCTGTCCCCTTAGTGAAGACAAATACATGAAATGATTTTCCAGCCTCAAAAGTTGTGTATTCCAATTTATGTCAGAATAACTACCAAGTTAAATGGCTTTATTTTCAATCAGATACACCAGGTACAAAGCCT